GGTGCCCGTCGGTGCCCGTCGGCTGGCGAGCCCGCGTGCTCCTCGGCCCCCGGTGTGGGGGGACGCTCCGGGCATCCTCCGCTGCCCTTCCGGCCCCCCCAGCCCCTGGGGTCCTCCGGCTGTCACCTCGGCCTTCCTGAACGCCCGCCCCTCCCCCGAGGGCCGCCCCCCCTCCCCCGTCGCCCTGTCACCCCTGCTGTCCCCTGGGAATTCCGAGTCTTTCCCCTGGGACCCCTCCCCCGCCCCCCGCGGGTGACTTGGGACGTCGGCTGCGCCTCCAGTCAGTCACCCTGGAGCTCCTTCCTGGTCTCTGCCTCACTGTACCGCCGCGGGCCTCCCCTCGCCCCCCCACCCCACCCCGGGTCCCTGGCTTGGTTTCTCTGCTTGCTTTTTCTTTTTCTTTTTGAGGCCAGGGCTGGCTGCGGGTGTTGGGAGCCCCCCCCCCCCGTCCCTCACCCATCCCGCTGCGCCCGCCGGGCTCCCACGTCCCTCGGCGGCACTCCATATTCCCCCGCTGGTACTCTGTGATACTCCCTGTCTTTGCTTGCGGAGGCTGAGATAGCAGGAAGGAAGCTCTGCCAGGCTTCCCTGCTTTGCCCTGCCAGGAGGAGGCCGCTGATCCCCCGCCGCCCTGGGCTCCTGCCCTCTGGATGCGCCTCCTTCATGCCCGGGGCTGCTGCAGAGGGGGCGGTCCCGTCGGACCGTGGTGAAGTTTGGGGGGAGGGAGTGTGTGTTGGGGGGGCACAGGCCTCCCTCAACCCTTTCTCCAGGTGGTGGCATTTTTGTTTTGAGTTCTTCTTGTTCCTTTCCTAGAAGAGGGCTCTGCCCAGGACGCCCTGCAGTCCCTGAGCCAGCGGCTCCGAGTGCAGGAGAAGGAGATGGAGCTGGTCAAGGCGGCCCTGGCGGAAGCCCTTCGCCTGCTCCGGCTGCACGGGGCCTCCCCCTCCCTGCAGGCCTCTGGCATGCCAGCTCCTACACGGGACAGGTATTCATGCCCCACAGCCTCCTCCTCCCCCTTCCTGGAGCCTCTGGGGGGGGGCCATTAGGTTGATTCGCTTTCTCCCCAGCAGCCCTGCAGCACCCCCAGGACTGCCACCTACATGCAGCCCCGCTTTGGTGAGCCGAGGCACCCAGACAGACACCGAAGTGGAAATGGAGCCGTCCTCTGCGCCCCCTGGCCTGAGCAATGGGCCTCCAGCCCTTCAGAGGGGTGGTGAAGAGCCTAGTGGCACGCAGTCTGAAGGAGGGGGCAGCAGCAGCAGCGGGGCTGGCTCCCCTGGACCCCCAGGGATCCTCAGGCCTGTGCAGCCCTTACAGCTCGCTGAGACGTAGGTGTTCCCGCCGTGGAGGCTGGGAGGGGTGGAGGATCGGGAGCAGACCTTCACCTGCTGACTCTACCCTTACCAGGCCTCGGAGAAATTCTTCCTCCTCTTCCTCCCCCTCCGAGCGCCCGCGGCAGAAACTCTCCAGGAAGGCAGCTTCTTCTGCCAATCTGTTTCTGAGGTCAGGCAGCACGGAGAGGTGAGCAAGGCCCCTCCTCAACCTGCCCTGTCCAGACACAGGCTCTGGACTTCCCACATTGCTCACCTCACTTTCCTGGGTAGGAAACCAGGTATGGGAACCGCATTACTCATCAGAATGAGGGGATCAAGCACTTTTGCTCCTCAGGATCCTTGCGGTGTACATGGCACTGTGCCACACCTGCCATCTCATTCAGTCTCTACAGCATCTTTTTTTTGGGGGGGGCAGGGATAGGTGGTCCCATGCAGTCCATTCAGTCCATTACATTGGTAAGGAAACAGGCTCAGAGATAGTAAATCAGTTTGCTCAAAGTTACACAGCTAGAGTCAACCTAATTCTTCCTTTCTTTTTTCTTTTCTTTTCTTTTCTTTTTTTTTGTCAGTCATGGGGCTTGAACTCTGGGCTTGGGCACTGTCCCTGCGCTCTTCAGCTCTACCTCTGAAGAGCCACAGCGCCACTTCTGGTTTTTGAGTGGTTTATTTTATTTAATTTATTTTTTTGGGTCCGGTCGTGGGGCCTGAACTCTGGGCCTGGGTGCTGTCCCTCAGCTCTTCAGCTCAAGGCTAGCACTCTACCACTTGAGC